CATTCCAGTCCCATTCAGAAATATAGTTACGCTTTGGATTTTGAATATGGGTTCATGAAATGAATTGCATAAACCTGCTACAGATCAGCCGTGTGATAGAAGAATTGATTGATTGGGCGAGTATCGATCCATGATTTGATCACGGACCATCCCTGTGTGAATAGAAAGCATGGAACTTCTCTTATTTAGATTTTAGCATTTTCAGCATTCGATTCGCACATTCTATATTTCCAACAAATTTTCTCTAGAATACCTCTATCTATAGTAACCCAAAATCAAATATTTTCTTCATTTCCAGACTTTACCAGCCGTTACAGGTTGCAACCTAACAAGTAAGTCATAAATTAGTGAGTGAATAACCAGGTAGCAGACAGACAAAAAGGTGGACAGCTAGACGGGTATGCAGGCAAACGAGAAGAAGGACCGTCTGAAGTAATTGGACTGCTGAATATCCCACATATTTGACTTCAATTAGGAATCGTAAGGGAATTCCTTGGTTTTTTGGTTCTCGGAGGTTTGGAGGAAGTGATTTTTTTTTGTTTCTGAAGTTTGAAGAAAGGAATAACTACCGTATTTTGAAGAAAGTAATAACTACCGTATTTCTTTGCCGCAGTGGAGTTCCCTCACATTCGACTAGTCTTTGACTTTAGGACCATCTATAGGAATAATTTCGGTGACATGAATGGGTTCANGAGGTTTATTGCTTTTTCTTCACGTTGAACCACTTCAAATCTTGTTAGCAAGAGATGTGAAAGAAATGCCTTCAAAGGGAACTTGAAAAAGAAGTAACACTGTAAAGTGCTTCAGGTTCAGGCTCTTTCTTTCTCTCCTTGGCTTCAGGCTTCTTTCTCGACGACGTTTTCAAGCAAACTTTGCCCTTCACATACTTTTCTTGCTCCTTGAGGTACGTACGAGTTTCCCAAACAAGAATTCCTCAGATCAGTTTTTCGTTGATGACTTCTGAAGTTGTCGAAGACGTACAGTCTAGGGTTAATTGAAAGAATTAGTCAGTTTTAAAGTCAGTCAGTTTTTTACAATGATTCTATAATTTTTACATAGAAGTTGAACAGAAGTTTCCTAATCAACACAAAATAGTTTTGTTTGATGCTTTGTTTGATGTACTGATGCGAATAATGGATCTCTACTCAAACCATTGAAAAGCCATTAGCTGTCGATTCTGTTGCTGGGCCTGGATTAGGCTTTTATGCTGATAAAACCACTCCCTAATTGGGTGATAGCAACGAGCTAGTCACGAAGGAATGGACTTTGACCGTCTGTACAGAAGAAGTTCGAAGATGCATGGGCTTCACGACAACAATATGGAGCCTGCAAGCAGGAGAATTTCTTAAAAGGTTTCTTACCAAGGTAGCAACAAAGAGGTTAGAGAGACGTCTCCAGATGATCTTTAGATACAAATTTGACCCTATGTAATAGGCAAATCTCAAATCCGCTTCCTAAGCTAGAGTGAAGAATTGAAGGGTGGCCAGGATTAGGCGGATTTCTTTCTTGCGACCAGCTCCTCCAGATTTGGCAGCTATTATGCTTTATTAGGGCCCTATCAAAAGAGAATGGGAATAAAGGCTAGTTCGAGATCTTTTTCATAAAGGCAATCAATCAATCATTGTGAGACGCTATGAGATGGTTCAGTACAGGAAAGAGGGGGTTCGAGCAGTCGCTAACGCCACTAAATGTAGAAGCAATAGTCCAACAACCACCAAGTCCAATGAGTTATCTACCACTGCCTTCAAGACCGCTGTTTATACTGAAAGGACTATTATGATGGTCAACACTTTCATTTCGACGGGCAGGTAAGGCCAAGTTTGGGCGTCGTAAGCGAACAGGCTCCGCTGTTGTAGCAAAAATGGTTCAGTGGCAAGTGGCCAGTACCACAAGCTCAGCCCAAAAATTCAAATCTCAAAGCTAACAGGCTTTTTAGGCCCACGAAACGTAAATGATTGGCTAAAATTATCAAGTGGACGAAGACATTGACTTGTGCATGACCTGCCACCCCGAAGTGTTCTAAGTAAGACAAGTATTCTGTTGAACAACACCAAGCGTAAGCAAAATGCATGGCGCACTTCAAGAAATCGGTCACTATTGCCCAGTTTCTTCAAGAATGCTGCAAAAAAAAATGATCAATGATATGATTACAGGAGATTCTAATCATATCAGGCAGAACATCTAAATTAGTACAATTGATAGGGGTGCCATAGGGCGCCACTACTGTTCACAGGATCGGAAAACACATCTCGATTGGCCAGTTTGCGCCATGCTTCTAGGAGCCGGCTATTTTAACTGATTTCGCTGCAACTCGTGGAAAGCCTCATCATCGTGGAACAGTTGCCTGTGTCCGTTTACGTAAATCATGGTACTCTAGTGGTGTGCCAAAGCGATGCGTTTGAGAAATTACTACCTGCCGTAACGTCTTGGAGTAATTGCCTGGGAAAACCTTGTGAGAGAAAGTTGTTTCTTGTAGTGAAAGCTGTCGGTGGTTCTTTGGGGTACACTGAAGTGTCAATCAAATCAGATCTGGATCTATTCGTAATGGTACATGACGCAATTAGAATTCTTCGCCAGAGCAATTAGGCTTGTTTGAATAAAAACTTGTACCATTTCCTGTAAGATGACCAGTTTCACTCTATCCAGCCATGGCAGATAGATGAGATGTTTGAGGGTGGGACAAGCAACTAGCCTGTCGTACCTGACCACTTACGTGTAGGGGTAGCTCCGCAACAACCAGAAAAAAACGACCACGAAAATCTGGTCGTGCACTTCGAGAGTGCCATGCTGTAAAGTGACCACGAAACGAGGCCTATTTAATGAGGCCGCGTGCTTAGAAAGGCAGTCCTCCACGCCGGCAACAGCCCCGCGTTTCCCGTGGGTAAGTCTTAGAAGTCTTCTTGGTGATTATAAATCCACTTCATCACATTTAGACGATGGCTTTAACTACCGTTGTGACAGTGGTGGCCGGAGTGGCTGCCATAACCACAGCCTTCAGTATTATCCTCGTTGGTTATCTTATCAATGATATCAACAGCTTCTATGATGATGCTATCGAACAGCTTACTGATTTCAAGGTAACCTCCTGAGCCTCTTTGATGAAACCCCGATTTTGAGTTCACGCACTTCAGTGACATTCTTTCAGGACATGGCCAATTCGGCTTGGCATGAAATGAGGCCATCTCCACAAGAGGCTCTCCGTCAAGCACGCTCCATCCACCGTCCACGTCGTCAGTACCCCGAACACTGCAACTGCGCACCACAACCGGAAGCCTGTCCAATAGGACCTCCAGGGCCTCCCGGACCTGAAGGCGCGCCCGGTGAACCTGGATTGCCAGGAGAACCCGGTAAAAAAGGTCTTGATGGAATATCGATCTCAGGTGGGCTTGGCGAAGCGGGTTGTATCAAGTGCCCAGTGGGCCCACCAGGACCACCGGGCGAGGAAGGTCCTCCTGGACCACCGGGACCGGATGGAATGCCTGGCCTTGGTGTCTCTGCACCTGGAGTTGGAATGCCAGGACCTCCCGGACCACCAGGTGATGCCGGACTACCCGGAGAACCAGGAGAGCCTGGCCCCCCAGGAATGCCTGGAGCAGATGGCCAATCAGCCGCTGGATTACCTGGACCTCCTGGACCTCCTGGGCCGGAGGGTCCTCCTGGCGAGGCTGGACAAGAAGGTGAACCAGCAGATGTTGGGCTTGCTGGGCCTCCCGGACCTCCTGGACCCCCTGGCAATCCAGGATTGCCTGGACCGGATGGTCTCCCAGGAGAACCTGGTTCGGAGGGTGTACCTGGCCGTGATGCCGCCTACTGTCCTTGTCCAGAAAGAAGTGCTACATTCTTGAAAAGGAGCGCTGGAGTGAAAGCCTATAAGGCAACGCCTAAGCGTCAAGCATCAAGTCAACGAGTTGTAAAACGACGAATTGCCAGGACGGTGCACGACGCGAGGAGGAAGGCAGGACTCGCATAGCATATAGCAGTGACTGTGATGCCGTAATTTCAGTACCCGTTTCTACAAAGAATTAGCTTCCATCAAAATGAACTCCGTCGGCGAAATTGTGCTAGTAAGCAACTTATCTGACAGCTGCTTCCACATATCACATGCTTCTCTAAAGAAGAATAAATTGTTCTGCCATTCCTAGTCTCTTTTCATGAATGAATTCAATATTGATACTACTTCGAGCAATAATTATATTATGAGAATAGGTACGTTCAAACTACTTAGCCTTTAACAGTAATTAGTAGCAAACTAGAAGCGATCGCAACATTTTGCTCACTGCCATGGTGAATGTTCAAAACTTCGAATATGGTTTTGTCCCAAAACTTCAAGGAAGAAAAACAAAAAAAAAATCTTTCAAAATTTTCAAAACTTTGTACCGGAAGGTATGAAATGACGTGATTATTCGAGAATAGCGAAGATTTCAAAGTCTCCTCCATCGGTAGCATCAGTTCTAGTAAAGAATGTAAGAAGCTCCGGCAGCGGAACTCTCTGAAAAAGTGGTAGGAATCCCGTATTCCAACTTAATGTGCTCTAATAATTGTAATTGGCTAAATGACACAAATGAGAGCTGGGAGGCTCCCAGAGATAGTAGGCGGGGTTCGCCCCCTAAGCTCTCACATGAGATGCGCTCTCATTGGAGGGGGTGCGCTGGTTGTGCGCGTCCGCCGTAACTAGGTCACGCCGCAGCCGTCGCACGCGGCGAGTCAGCCCGCGATACTTGACAGTCGTCGCAGTTGTCAGTGGGTCATTCGTTTTGCGCTTGGTTCACGGCAGTCAATTCAAAGAGAAGATAACGCTGACAAATGCAAATCCTTCGCTTCACTGACACTTGAAGGTACTGTAATTCCTTCTCGAGATTTCAGTGTGGTGCGCCGCGCGCGAAGTGGGTGGGGTGACCTACTTTCGACAGACGCGCGCAACGGGCGTTCTCTCATTGGAGGATATGGCTGTTCGGGGGAAGTTGTGTTCTATCGGAAATCGAAGAAGAGTTAGTCGGATATGCTAGCCGCTAGGGGAGCGTCTCCAAATGGGGAGCGTTCACAAATAGAACCCCGTTGAGCTTACACAAAATGCCGTGGGAATCCAGACCATTACGAAATTTTTGGTAGATACTTCCTGCACCACCTAGGGGTCAGAAAAGCGGGTACAGAGGCATTGCATCATTGTTGGGATCTTCTGTAAGTCCGAAACCATCGAATTGGGGGATTTTTTGGACGCTCCATGGCATGGTGGTTGCAACCCACCTATCCTTTCATCACAGTTGACTTCAGCATCATTTCTGCTGTTTATGTTATCAAATATAACAAAAATAGCGAATGTAACAAAGAAATCTTGAACGATCACCCCACATAACGCCAGTGCTCATTCATAGCAGTAAGCGGTCTAAAAGTTCCACGAGATTGACAGAACGAACGCGGGCGAAGTCGGACGGAGCTCGAACTCAGACTTTCCTGGCGCTGTGCCAGCCACGGCGTACAAGGACTTACATGCGAAACGTGTCAAGCCGGTCATCTGATACCTACAATAAACTATGAACCTGTCAGGATTTCGTTACAACATGTTCTGACTTGTAGTTTTTGTTAACAGCTGTTTTTACCGCATTACGAAAAACTCCCATGGACGGAGAGCGCCTTTCATTGCCGATATCGGCTGATCGGCTCATCACGTTGTAAGTACGAGTGTTGATAAGCTGTAGCTGAAACACTGTTAGAAGGCTAGGGCAAGCAGGGCCATAAAGGATGATGATCGAAGCGTTTGGAGAGTACAAATATGGGTTTGAGTCTAGCCCGACGGGTGTGGTGCGTTAGGAACGAAATGGTCGCGTCGCGGTGAGAGGGGCGTCGCGCGCGAAGGAATGTAGCA